GACCGCTTCATATCTTATATTTTTTATGAGACTGCTTTAGAATGTTGCTGACTAATTGGATTTACATATTTATATTGTTATTATATGTCTAAAAATTACCCTTACATTTCGGGATTCGAACCGGCAGTCGCTGATTCACAGGCGTCAACTATACCCACTCGACCACATAAGCATATTTGAGGCAGAAGGTATGATCATTAACATGGAGCACGTCAAAATTATGTTGAATAATAGCAACCGGAAGAGTATTATACAGCAATGCCGAATTATAAACAATAAATTGTGACAGTAAAACATTCCTCTCATTTCAAGTGCAGTAAACACAATGTGGACACAAGTGCGCGATGTATTTCGATGCTATTTTAGTGCTATTATTGAATTCTATTTTTGAAATGCGGTATGAAAATTAAGTGCAATATAAAGTGGTGAACAGACAAAACACAGGAATACTAATGTTAATACTTCCGACGTCGTCGCAGTCCACTTCTAGGTGGAACTATTCTTAAAAAGCTCCTCTTCCTTGTCAATTGTCTCTACTGCTGGTGCTGCTTGGGATTAGAAAGGTAGGCAGTGAATTTAGAATAACTAAAATGTCGGAAATGCAACTGACGACATTTAACAATATTGTGCAATAAATTCATATTATTCTATCAAGCTATCAGTATATTTGTAGCGTATTGCTGGTTTGTGGAGTAGTATTAAGCTTAAATAAGTCTTGTTCAGTCTTTATATCAGCTAACTTACTGAGGTTGAATTATGGGGATACAATTCGCTTCATGCACTACTAATCAACTGTATATTCAGCCTGGTGTTAATCAGCTTCGTACACCTTAAATCAACCAATAATCAACCTTTGTTCTTACAATTCAGCTTGAATTGTTACTTGGGTCCTACTACTACTGCTGCTGCTGCTACTACTGCTGCTGCTGCTGGACTGGACACAACCACTTAGGGTGATTGAATGAGCACCGTTCAGTGGGACCGCATCGAATTCGATTTTTAAGTCTGTGTTAGGGAATGCGCTGTTTTCAGACATTCGGTGATAATTTTGATCACCATGGCAACAGTTGGACATTTGGCATTTTTCAATAGTGACCTATTGAAAATTAACTAAGTGTTCATTTTAGCAGATTGGTAGATAATTTTCCCATCGTTTGGCTTGTTTAGAATTAAAATCTATCTGCTATTGGTCGAAACCTGACCTCTTTTCGTAATGCTGTGCATTTTAGGTTTTTGAAATTGCGTGGATTCTATAGATCCTGTGGAGATCTATCTAGCCCTGATGTATCTGTTGGTAGAGGGAAAAATGTAAACTTTGCGGGAGACGATGTCTTAACACTCGAAAGCAATTTTGTGAAATATGAAGTGAAACATATCCTAGCTAGTTCTGCATGATGATTTTGTTTGATTTTATATATTTGTAAAGTCGCCGGGAAATACCAGCTGGCGATTTGTTTTTTATGATAACTCCTTACTTGAAAACAGGCAAAAACTCACAAACAGGCTGCTTTTTCATGGTATACAGTGTGATAATTCAATAATCAATAAATTATCTCAACATTTAGTGGCAAACTTTGGTAACATACAAAAAATTCTATAATCCATATTAAATTTCATATGTAAGCGCCGATTGAAGCAATCTTTTCGACGTCACTACAAGGGTGATTGATTAAACGAAAGAAACGAATCGTGCGGAATGAAAGCCGAGGAAAAACTAATTGCACCAATATATTCAGGCCTACAATTCCACACCTTCTATAGACAGGTTGAGCCTTGATAGCTAGCTGCTTGCGGGAACTGATGACCTTGACCAATGTCCAAATAATACTCTTTAACAAATTTTTGGTGGCCCTGAAAGGACCGTTTTGTAGTGATGGTTGAGTAATTCTGACCTGGGTGTGCAACACGGATGAGGCTGTCGAGCTGTATGTTGTTTGGAGCGAGGGTGACACGCATGGCATAGATGACCGACCCGCAGCGACTCACGAAGAGCTACTGATTCCGATCCATAGCATAGCGGTACAGCTTCTTCCTCCTTTGATGGTTGCTTATGTGGGCTCTGCAGCTCGCTGCTTGCAAGCAGCCTTTCGTTGTTACTGGAGAACAATTTTCAACGCCACACGCCGAAAGCACTGCTACTGTTGCTACTGCTGCTACTAATTTCGACGACCGAACACCACCACACAGTGGTGTGGTCGTTGGGAGCGTGTGATTCGGAGTATGGCGATGAGTGTGCAAAATATAACGCAATTCCATCCTCCCTATTTGCACGCGCCCGAGGATCGGAGGCGAATGCCACTTCGACTTGTTTCGTCTACTTACTACTCTCTGACGACTGCGCTGGGGAAGCAGCATATGCATGTAGGTAATTGATGGATTTGTTAGTTAATTCGACGCTTTTGAACAATGCTGTACAATCACCAGTTTTTAAATAGTTTCTTGTTGAAAATCAACATTCGGACGCATTGTTATCGATGCGTAGCCATGTTTATGATCGATTGGTGATAAAATTATTGAAATTGGGCCATGGGCAGCTGAGTTATTAACATTCAAAATCTTTCTTGATTTGTTACATGTTCCATTTTTGGTTTTCACAAAGTGTACCCCCATATAGAAATCAAAGACGTAGTCCTACGTCAAAATGATTTTCTAGGAGCGCTTCTTTGTTTTGAGAACAATTAGTTTAAATATTCATACAACGCACTCGTATAGGCTTTGTGATGAAGCTTATGAGCTAACGCATCGAAACAAACGTATTATAGATTTGTGTACGGTGAAATTATGAATATTATTGATGATTTCTGTTCGATAGAACGGAAATCGGCAATCACGACGAAGTAGTGCTCTACCCTATACACGAAAACCAAAAATCTATTATATTCAATGTTAGTTGCATTTCCTGTCATCCTCCGCAGCGAATGATATAAGTTGACCTCGCAGACGATGTAATGGTTTTTTCGTGTTCTGTCTACGCTTTCGACTATACCACCCAGCTTTTTATTTATAACATTGTAGAACGACGCATACACTTGCATCGATTCTCTGCAATGCTCGTTCAGCAGTAAAAGTAGACCTTCCATTTCTCGGGGGTTCCCACCATCCCGGGATTCGGGGAATATTTACCACTATATCGTTTCGCTATGGAATTTCTGTGTATTCAGCCTGTTGTTAATCAGCGTTATACACTTTAAATCAACTAATAATCAGATTATGTTCTTACTGTTCAGCTTTAATTGTTACGTGGGTTCTGACCAGAACTGCAAGCTTATATTGAGATAATTTCCTAAGAAACTCTGAGATGAATTCCAAGAGATTTCTGGGGAGAAGAAAGGAAGCTCTGTATTAAATTCCGATTGGTTCTGTTAAGAATAAGAAGAAAATTTTAAGGAGAATAGCAGATGAATTTTTAGGATAATTCCAAAAGAATTCTGATGAGAATTCAAGGAGGATAATAAACAAAATTTAAAGGGTGTCCTACAGAATAATTTCAATGGAGTACTTCAGAAAGTTAAGAAAAGAGCTTCAAGCGAATTCTGAGAAAAATATATAAAGTATCATATTCTGAGGATAAATTTAAAAAAAAATGGACAATCTTAAATAAATTCTTAGGAAATTTTCAAGAAATGATCACGATATTTCACGTTGCTGCCTCAGTGCCACTACAAATTAATATTTTTGATATCTTTTAAAAATAGTTCCTCGCATTTTTTTTCTGAAATTTGTGGGAAAGTTAGTTAGTCAGGAGAGGTGTATTAATCATAGCGGATACAAAAACTGCTAAATGCCTTTGTCGATAAAAAAAAAATGTGACTTCAGTGGTTTCTGAAATAAATGATTCAAATATTCGAGATGCTGGACTTTGGATCGATCCATCAAGTACGTCAGTCTGATTTAAGGAAAATCAAGCCCTTCCTCTTCCCTCTTTCGTCTCACTTTTTCCAATCTGAATACATTGCTTGTCACAGATTTAAAATCCCCCGATCCCCCTTAAAGCGTGACGTCACATTTTCTAGACACTTTGAAACATTTTTTAATTAGAGATTCATATCCAGCATTCAGTCTACGGGTGCAATTTTTCATCGTTCTGCTTTATAATCAACTATAGGTACATTTTATTCCTAACACTCATAGGTACCGATCCAACAAATAGCAATAAAGCTGTCAATATTGGCATTTATTAATCATTGTAGCAAAAGCATGTTGCGTGCTTTATATACGACTAAAGTCACCGCAAATACAGAAACAATCCAATCGCAAACTAGAAGATAAGATATTGCTCGACTGCTGTGAGTGTACCGTTATCTCCCCCTTAACAAACGCGGACACGCTGACTACTAGACACACTCCAGTGGAGCCAAATTTCACGAAATTACACTGGTTCCGAACAAATTAAATTACCTACTTGAGTAACCTTGAAACCGCTGAACAAGAACATTCATCAAAAGAATAACAACGACTTTACGCTCCACTGATTCGAACGCAGTTTTCCGTGGCTGCGCTGCTGCGATCTCGTCGGTCGCAATCAATGAATCACCAGATCGTATGAACATTCTGCCAAAATGTAAAAAACCCAAGCATCATTAGCAGTGGGTTGTTTATAGGGTAAGTTGGGATAAGAGGCGCTCCTGGAGCAAGATGACGTTTTGCTAATTTTGAATACATTTTACATATATTTTCTATTGCTGCCATTTGAAACTACATAATTTTAAAACTTATTCGGTGACAGCAGAATTAAAATCTATCGATAAATTGATGAAAAATGATTGTTCAAACATAGCCAATTTGCCGTGACACATTTTACCAGAGGCATCGTGTTTGGGTGTTTACAGATCGCCGAAAAAGAGGTATTTTAAACGAGAAAATGTTTTTCCCCGGGGGTGCATCGTGCCCCATTTTACACTAAAACTTAAGTTTTGAAACCCAACTTATATAGGAACGACAATCACGAACAGATAGGAAGCGTGACTAATACTTATATTCTTGCAATCGTCTATTTCCAGAACTTTGAACCCGTTCCAGTGCCGAAAAATTCCCATGGCAAATTTCATACCGGTGATTCGTACATTGTGTTAAATGTAGGTTTTTGTCTTACTCTGGAAAATCTGACATAACTCCTAGCTGCTCTTAATTACAGACCAATCAGAGCAAAGGTGGAATATTCTCGTGGGACATCCACTTTTGGTTGGGACTGGAAACCACACAGGACGAGGCAGGTTCGGCGGCGATCTTGAGCGTTCAGCTGGACGATCGCCACAATGGAGCCCCGGTGCAGCACCGCGAAGTTCAGGACCACGAGTCTAGTCTGTTTCTGAGCTACTTCCCGGGAGGGGTTCGCTACGCTGCGGGTGGCATAAAGAGCGGCTTCAACGAGGTTGAAACAAATGCTGCCGGCGAGCAACGGCTCTTCCAGGTCAAGGGCTCGAAAAATGTGCGCGTACGGCAGGTACCGCTCGGCATCGCTTCCATGAACAAGGGTGATTGTTTCATTTTGGATGGAGGGTACGAAATCTACGTGTACGTCGGACCGAGCGCCAAGCGGGTGGAGAAGATCAAGGCAATTAGCGCTGCCTCGCAAATTCGAGACCAAGATCATGCGGGTCGCGCCAATTTGCATATTCTGGGTAAGGGCGCTCCGGATTGATGGTTTGATCGTTGTAAATTGTATCATTTCAAATTATCGTTTACAGATGAATTCGCCAGTTCGTCAGAGCAACAAGAATTCTTCGACGTACTTGGTGAGGGATCTTCCGACGAAGTCCCAGACCAATCGGAATGCGACGATGAGTTCGAGCAAACCGATTGCAAATCGGTTACCTTGTACAAGGTTTCCGACGCCGGTGGCAGCCTGAGCATTGATCCTATCGGAGAACGCCCTCTGAAGCAGAACATGCTGGATTCGGATGTAAGATCATTTTCGTTGAGCAGTAACCTGTAACTAATCATAATTCTCTAGCAGGATTGCTTCATTCTGGATACGGGAGCATCCGGAATCTTCGTATGGGTCGGTAAGGGTGCCACCACTCAGGAGCGAGCGCAGTCAATGATCAAGGCACAGGAGTTCATTTCGACTAAGGGTTACCCGATGTACACCCAGGTCCACCGGGTCATTGAAAACGGCGAAACCACCGACTTCAAGCAGTACTTTACCAGATGGCAGGACAAAGGAATCAATCATAGTCATCTGATCAAGGCCGCCATGGATGACGACAGCTCCGTGGAAGGGGAAGAACGCGAGTTCGATCCGGAGATTCTGCACATGTTCAAGAAGAATGGTGGACGAGCTCTTGGATTCATGCCGGATAACGGTCAAGGCGATGCCGAAATCTGGCGCGTTGAAAACTTCGATCTGGTTCCCGTCGAACCACATGCTTATGGCATGTTCTTCGGTGGGGATTCTTATGTAGTCAAGTACGAGTACCACAACAAACGAGGTGGTCATGGATACATCATCTACTTCTGGCTAGGTAACGAATCAAGTACAGATGAAAAGGCTTCAGCTGCCCTACACACCGTTCGTTTGGATAATGAACTGAATGGCAAAGCTGTTCAGGTTCGTGTTACCCAAGGTAACGAGCCACGACACTTCCTGAAGATCTTCAAGGGCAAAATGATCAACTTCACCGGTGGTCACGCTTCCGGTTTCAAGAACGTCCATGACCACGACACATACGACGTTGACGGAACTCGTCTCTTCCGAATCCGTGGAACAAGTTCAGATGACGTGCGTGCCGAACAGCTTCCGGAAACGGCTAGCTCTCTCGCTTCCGACGATGTATTCATCCTGGAAACACCTTCCGCCACCTACGTATGGCATGGCGTTGGAGCTTCCGATCTGGAAAAGGACATGGCAGCCAACATTGTCGGAATCGTCTCACCGGATGCGGCGCCGCAGGTGATCGATGAAGGTTCCGAACCAAATGAATTCTGGGCTGCTCTTGGCGGCCAGGGAGACTACGACCGGGAACTGGATCCAACTGGAGTACCCTTCCTGAATCCTCGCCTCTTCCACTGCAGAATCCTGTTCAACAAACGACTCCGGGTCGAGGAAGTCCCACACTTCGAACAAGATGTGAGTTTCCTTCGAATTGGTAAAAAAAAAACCGAAATCACTCCAATTCCCTTCTCTTAGGACCTCAACGTAGACGACGTAATGGTGCTGGACGGAGGCGACGAGATCTACGTCTGGATCGGTAACGGAGCCACCGAGGAGGAGCGTACCAAATCGATCGACATGGCCAAACAGTACATTCGGACCGATCCTTCCGAGCGCAACGAAGATACGGTTCCGATCGTGGTTCTAAAGCAGGGCGAAGAACCACGCAGCTTCAAACGGCTGTTCCCTGCCTGGGACGATGGCCACTGGGAGGTTCGTCACTAAACCACCCCACTATAGCATTATTTTACTACTAGATATTTATATTCTTTTCTCCAAAGAACCCTGTCACCTCCTGTTTGTTCAGTTCTCGTGACATTGAGATGTTTCGATTCCAGAACGTCTATTATTTGGGTAAAACTTGGTTTGCGCGCTGGACTAATAAAATGTGTTTTGGGTTGCTTTCGCTAACATTCAGGTTTTGTCTACCATCTACGCTAACAGCAATTTTACTTCCGTTTGTAGTGTGAATTCTATAATCTGTAGTCCTGTAGACTTCTATGTGTGCACTAAGTATTTTGATTTCAACGAACATTGCGGTCATGATCTCTAATAGAAACATTCCATCATGTACTTTTCCACAGTCACAGCCTTCGTACGAGAGCATTCGCCAGCAGGTACTGGACCAAAATCAACCACTTGAGTAATGTACGAACCAAATGTGTATCTTTCATACTGCGCACAAACAGCCAACGTATTTATGCCCATGTAATATTTTGTGCTTACGATAAATATACAAAAAGTAATCTGATTGAAGTGTTTGAAACAGCGAACTGATTTCCGAAACATCAATGTTTTAAATGCACTGCGAAAAAATCTAGTCAAAGGAAGAAGTAAAATGAGTCCAAGTTTTCGCTATGCATCTTTCGTTGTAAATGTTCTACGACAACTTTGTGTTTGAAGGACTTTAAAAAAGGTTACCAAGTCACTAAAAAGCTTTCTGCTGCCAGCCCTGCAAATGTGGCAGAACTCAAAAGAACACAAAAAAATAAGCATTGCTAAATCTTCCACCATTTGACAATATAGTTTTTTACTCATTTGGCATCTGTTTGAAAATAATCCACCGGGGGATCACTAACCTCCGAACATGGGATGTTGATTAGGCATATTTATCTAATTAGATAATTGTAAAAAGAATTCCAATTTGTTTAAGTCCTTGCAAGTGGATTGTACATCCATCATTGTCCATATTTTTCAATTGTCAATTTGAGAACAGGGACCCATCTGGATACTGGGACTATTTTGGGATTTGATCATATCCATACACACATGAGGCCAATACAAGGTTAAGACCAGAAGGTCCCGAAGAAACGAGCTTAATTTTTTGGCTCAGCTCTGGTACTATCTTCGGTCCCAAGCTAATCGGTGCACCCCTCGAAACATAGGAACATCCACGAACCCCTCATTTTATCTGTCAAACTTTCATAGCGAATCAAAACAAACATTGTTTAGTACTTGAATTTCGACTAGAATGGGATACGTTAATCGTTTGCTTGGGACCAATAGGCTAGTCAAGTAGTGAGCCAATTTAAAATCGTTACTTTCGTATTGATTGTTGGTTTTACCATAGAGGTAACTCTAAGACTAGCAGGTCCCGAAGAAACGTGCTCAACTGCTCTGGTACTATCTTCAGTCCCAAGCTAATCGATGCACCCCTCCAAACATAGGAAAATCCACTAACCCCTCATTTTATCTGTCAAAATTTCATAGCGAATCAAAACAAACATAGTGTAGTACTAGAATTTTGACTAGAATGGGGTACGCTAATCAATTTGCTTGGGACCAATAGGCTAGTCAAGTAACGAGAAAATTTAAAATCGTTAGTTTCCACCGGTTGGTTTTACCGTGCCCTAAATCGCGTTGATTTTGTTGTACTACATATGTCATATGTGTCAAATGACGCTTGTTCTATTAGGTTGCATCATCTGCGCTAAAAAAGATGGCATATTTAAAGGGTGGAACGGTCAAAAATTGGTCAATCATGATTAAGTGCACACTGATTTAGGTATTGTATAAGGATCGCAGTGTGCTGTGCTCGCGGATGGAATTGTGTTTTTTTCGGTCGCTGTTTTTTCGTTGATTTTTGTCACTTTTTTCAAATATTTTTGCATTTTTTTTTATAAATATCTAAAGCCATACAGTAGGAAATTAGTGTCTTTGCAAAGCATGCATCTGAATCTGAAGGTGTGCTTGCAGTTCCATTAACCATGTGATTTCGGAACTGTAGACATGTGGAGCTTATGGCTTCTGAAAGTGACTTCGGAATTGGTATGCATTATCAAACATTTTAAAATGGGTTTCTGGATCAACAGTAGAGCTAGCACCTTCTAATTCCTGGACTAAAACTGCTTTCAGTTATCTCTAATATGATAATTTCAAGTATATTTCTTCCATAATACCACTTGCAAGAAATGTTGCAAACAATATTTTGAATGTTAACTTGTATGATACATGACGCTTCTTTTATATGCATCATAGTGATAGAAATTCACATTACTTTTTTCAACTGTGTAGGCTTAGAACCATTTTGAACCAACTTGGCCAAATTCGAGAACGGTTACTCTCAAGGAAATGATCAAAATGTGTTTTGAAATAAAATAAAAAAGGGTAAAATAAAAAATAAAATAGCGTAAAAACATAATTGAGTGTTATTTGATTACAATTTAATTACCGATGGTCATAGCCTACTTCGATGCCACCACAGAACAGAAGGAGAAGTGCAAACAAATCGGTGAATCAAAAAGTGTTCGTTTTTCTGCTCAACAAGCGATGTGTTGTGGTAGCGTTTCACACGGGCTTTCTATGTGCACTCACACTATTATAGCATGCTGCCTATCTCAACTGCAGGCAGAAGATGCCTTCTACCGCTAGGTGCGCTAGTGTTTGCAAATGACAAGTGGAGCCACTTTCTGATCCAAAGTTCCACTCCTGTGATGCCACGCTTGTATTTGCGTCGAATCATTTTTTTTTTTTCATTAGACTTGATATCAAAAAACATAATTTTGCACTAACTTTCGAAAGTTTCCGAAACATAGGGATGTGATTTTTGAAAAGTTGATAAAGATTCCTTTAGACAATGCCAATAAGGAAGAAAAAAATTATCTGTTTTTATACATCATCTGAAAGAGGTTCGTTTTCTGAACACAACGATATGTTTTCGAGCCCACTCACTTTCATCTCGATTTTTAAATCAAGATTTAAAGCAAGATAAAAACTTCACTGTTTGACACTAAACTGACAAACTAATAAGGTGATTTTTGCAAATGTAATCTACTTATTTAAAATAGTTCCAGTGTATCAAAATTGATGATAATTTGGGTTTGGGTTCCATTTTTAATGCAGATTACGACTAAGCATTTACCTCAATACCCTTAAAGAACCCAATGGGGATTTCGCCTATGCGTGAGCAAAATGTTGATACGCTGTTCCTTTTGCAAAATGGCAAAAACATAATAGAGGCAACATTCGGTTCGGTCTGTGTCTATAAAATGAGGGGTGTTCAAGTTTTTTAAATGCACGATTAAAACAAATCGTTAAATTTGAGTCGACCAATTTTTGACCATTCCACCCTTTACATGAACGGTTCACAACATAATATAATCTTTCATAAACCAGTCTGTATTGTGTTCCCTTGCCGTGCCCTATTTACTTTTTGCTGAAGGAATTGTTACTGCTACCTAAAGGTACAACATATTTAAACACTGGGGGTGCGACACATCTAAATCTCAATTTTTGATTGTTGAAAAATATCACACAAGCGATCAATACACGAAAAATCTTTTTTCATCTCTTGCATCTACAGCCATCTACTCACATCGCTTTCCACCTTCTTGCAGGATATCTTTAAAATCTTAATCAATCTTTTTTTCTATCTACATAGCGTGCGAGTATATCACAACAGAAAACAAATTTGTTCCAGCATTTTAGATAGAGTCGCCCCTCTCGTTTAAACAGCACTTCTCAGTGCTAAATAACCTGTAATTTTTCTACATTGTTGAAGCATTGTCAAATGTCAAATGTCATTAGCCAAATACCAACCGGTGGAAATTAACGATTTTAAATTGGCTCACTACTTGACTAGCCTATTGGTCCCAAGCAAATCGATTAACGCACCCCATTCTAGTCGAAATTCTAGTACTACACTATGTTTGTTTTGATTCGCTATGAAAGTTTGACAGATAATATGATGGGTTCGTGGATTTTCCTATGTTTGGAGGGGTGCATCGATTAGCTTGGGTCCGAAGATAGTACCAGAGCTGAGCCTTTTTGATCCCTGGTTGGACCCTACCTGAGGTAAGCTTGGACATCGACTTGGAAAATTCCTCTTCGATCCATCGCATTCTTATAGTAACCCTAATAGTAATCTGCTTGGAAATCGATTTGGAGAAAAATATACAAATTTCTATTGAATTATTTCTTTTCGATCCTTGTTTGGATACTACCCGATATAATCCTGCTTGGATATCGATTTGGAAAATTTATCTTCGATCCAACGGTTTCTTATAGTAATCTGTTTCGAAGTCGATTTGCAGAAATTTTTTACTGCCATCAGGCGGCCTATGCCTAATCGCAAAAGAAAAGGGCAATCTTTTGATCCCCCTTCTGATGAAATTAATTTGTGCAATCAATTTGAAAAGGTCCCCCTATTGTGGTAACCACTTTCGATTTCCATGCTTTTCGTTACATTCAAGTTTTCACTTCATATTGGCCGTCGGGATAAATGCCGTGTATTGGATGAAATCTTGGACGGATTCAAATGTCTTCCCCAGTATGTTACTGAGAAGCAACACAAATGTTTTACTTATGACACCAAAACTGAACGAATGTTCAAGGTTGTATTGAATCCCTGGATCAGATAAAAAAAAATTGAAAAAAAAATACTTAGAGTTGCGCCAGTCCAAGTAATCAAAATTAAAATGACGGGCTGGCGATTCATACAACGGGATTTTTAATGATTTTTATTTAGTTCACTTCAAGTGAACTAAACAACCTTAAGGCCTTAGAAAAAGCTATCCTTATGCTCCATGTCCGAGTGACATGGGAACATTTAACGAAGACTGGAGGAAATGTCCACAACTTCCAAAAAATTGCTACATGCCAGCATGAATGCATGAATTGTGGTGATTCCTCTCACGTAAAGGACGACTGTCCTGCGAAGGAAGGTCCTAAGAAATGTAAACCGTAAAAATGGGGTGAAAACCACAATTCCAATTTTTGGGAATGTAATACCCTATTCTCATTATGCTCTATATCAAGTGATATAGAGTGATTCGTAGCTATATCATGTTCTATATTACGTGATATCCCATACAATACAAACGATCTGTCAATCTATATCATGAATAGTTCTTGGTATAGCTCATATCATGCTGTGTACTTGATAAAATCCTGAAAAGCAGTGGTTGGCAGGGCCACGATACAGCTGGTCGCTATTTTTGGCTTCAAATGTCACGTTTCCGTCGAGCCAATCGAAACATTTAAAAAATCCGAACTGGCAGTTTGCAGCAACCATTCTGAATCTCCTGACCCACCTACCCAAAACGAAGTTCTTTCGCAATCAATACCATCGGGTTGGCTCCATTCAATTGTTGCCAACTAATGGAAGATTTCACGGTGGTGATCGCCTTCGAAGTGTGCCCGTCAAACAAAAAAATGGAGCAAATCAAAGATTTTCTCCGGTACCCAACCAAAACGTCCCGTCACCAGAACGGACGCCGTTTTG